CTCTATATATATGTTTGATATTAGCAAATCATCTTGGAATTGAAGTATAAATACGTTTTCTAGATATTTAATGTATATTATCAAATATATTACCATAATTAATATTTTGACAATTATATTATTTTTTTTTACTTTATTTTGTTAAATAAAATATTAGTAGTGCACAAAAACTACATAAATTCAAGTAACATTTTTATTTAAATTTAGGTATATATAATAATCGTCTATCAAAAATAATAGAAAATACAAAAAACATCTTTTAAATTATAACAGAATTAATTAAGTAGTATATAGAATATCTTACTAATATATTTATTCAATGTATATAAAAATTTCCAATATTTACAAGCTGCAAATTTTAGATTATATATATATATATATATATATATAAGTAATACTTTATAATTAAATTAATTAGTTCTTTATTAATTATTAAATAATAGTATTATGAATTTATTTTTAATTCATTTTTTTGCTATCATATTTTCCTACTTGTAAGTTTAATCTATTATTTGAAATTTTATATTTTTAATATTTCTTTTATAAACATATAAATTTCAGAAATTAATTTTTTTTTATTTATTTATCAAAAATTTATCACAAATTATACTTAAGTAATATTTAAAAATTTTGTCTAGTAAAAATAGCCAAACAGCAATGTACGAATTTATTATTAGGCACAACTTTAGAAAAATATCTCATTAATAACGCAACATATATTACATTATTGAATTTTAAATAATTGTTATCTGGTAACAATGAATTTTACTGTACAGTAAAACAAAAATAATAATTTTTATGTGCAAGTTAATGAATTAAAATCGTAAGAAATATAAAAAATTAACTTTTTCTATTAGATTTTTTTATCTTTTATTATATATTTCGAATAGTATCAAAATTTTGACATTTTAGAATATTAATTCTATATTTCAAGATTTTTTAGCCTCTATATTATACTTTACTAAAATGTACATATATTTAATTAATGATATTCATATTATTAAACATTAACTAAAATTTATAAATACATTTCTGATGCCTTATATTAAAAATGACAAAACAATAAAAGTTTAATACAAATAAGTTTTACTACTGAATACTATATGACCTTGATTTTGTTTACCCTCTTTTTCAATCATATATATAATCTTTACTGTTAGTTTTATCGCTGTAACTAAATATTACGTAAACATTTCTGATAATCTATTTACTAAATTTACTAATTAATAGGTTTAATATTTTTTATTACATAATAATAGTTTTTTAAGATATGAATTTATGACAAAAAATTTTATTCGTATATAAATTTATTAAATAAAGGAAATTTTTTTATTTGTATACTTAGAAATTTAAATTTAACAACAAATAATGCAAAAAAGAAAATACTTAATCCAATTTAATGATCGATTGCTATTAAGTTATTAATTATTAAGTTCTTTTATTTAAAAGATTTAGCCATCAATATTGTATTGAAATTATTACAAATAAAGAATTATTTAAAACACTATCTTTCCTATTATTTGAAATATATTTATATCTTATTTTCTGTGATGAAATTAAAAAAACATTCATTGAATACTGTTTTCTTAACACAATTCTATATTTTTATAAATTTCTATGAAAAATCTATAAATAAAAATTATTACCATAAAGTCGAATTAAATAAAAACAAATTTACAATTATTTTAAAACTAATATTAAATAGTATCAATTTTCAAAAACTTCTTCTGAGAAAAATAAATATAAATAAATCAATATTAATTACATTTTTTAATTCTAATATATTTTGTGCCACCTTATGAGATAAAAACAACTTGAATTATAATAAATATTAATACGAAATTAATATACATATTATCACCATTCAAATGCCATGTGATTTTTAGTAATAATTGTAATTAGCAAATACGAAGTTATAGTAAAAATTTGAATGAGTTTTTACACTTGCTTATGGTTATCTATTTTAGCAAATTAGATCGATCTTACTTAACACAAACATTGATTTTTTCATTTTTTTTTTGATTTCATAGTAATATAAAATAATGCATAAAATTTACACCCAATAATCAGGGATTACATTCATATTAATAATAACAACGACATCCTCTGATTGTTTTCATCGACATCATTTATATATCTTCTGTTTTTCTGTCTCTGTTTCTATGTCTCTTTCTCTCTCTACCTCTTTCCTATTTTTAATTATTTGTTCCCTTTTTCAATAGCTATGTCCAACTCATATGTTAATCTTTATTATAATTTTTATTTTCTATTACTTCATTCTTCTTAATTCAATTCCCAATTAACATTATAAACATTTTGTAATTGTATAATATTTATATCGATAATTCCATTGTAGAATATGCATACAAGAAAAACATGATCATACTGATTTCATTAACTATTTATAGAAGAGAAATAAATTATCCTTGTTATTTTAATAATATAACATTTTACAAATATTAGTTCATTTAATGATTGTGAATATATTATAATTATTACGAAATTAATTTGTTCTCAAATTAAACATGTACTAACAAATTATATAGCAGCCATAATTTTAGTAGAATCTAACAATAAAATATCAGACATTTTATAATAGACTAACTGCCAATATATTTATAAATCGCAATAGTAAATAGTTTTTATTAAAGAATTATTCAATTAAAAATTCAAGAGAAAATATATGAAATATTTTATAATTAAACTTACATATTGTAAGATTCAAATTGTTTAATATATCTAAAAAATATATACATATGAATCAATTATGAAAAATTCTAAAAGTAGATTTGCTCAAAAATAAATATTAAAAAAAATAGATGATTTTTTAAAAATTTTGTTCTAAATCATCATTTTTAATTTTATGATTGTTAGTTTTACAGAATAATTTATATATGTATATGCAGATCGTAGAGTTTGTACCATGTATTAAATAATAAATACTTTTAGTACAAGTTTATATTTACATATTTAAATATATAAAGCTACGTAAAATAAAAATAGATTTTGTTATATATATAAGTTAGTATATTAGTTATAAATATATAAGTTAAGTATATACTGTCTGTCATGGATTGAACCTTATAATTGAGCTAGATATGATAGCGATCAGCATAATATACACACAATTTGTTAAATACCATCATGCACCATACAAAAACCTGATTGGTGAGTGCACAGTTAAGTGTATTCTCCTTAACGAAATATATGTTTCACAGACAATTTTAATAAGTTGTTTATTCCAAAGTAACCGAATTATCAATCATTAAATAAATATTTTTTTTGTTTAATAGTAAATAACTTAAGTAAAAATAATTTTTTTACATCAACATTTATGTAAAATCATTTTTAAATTAAGAATATTTCAATTTTTTGAGCACTTTTATAAGTACAGATGTTATACTTCATAAAATAAAAATTGTATATAATAAATAGACGGTTTCGTACATACTAGCATTACTTTGTACTGTTGTTATTTAATTATCATTTCCCTGATTACTAAAATATATGATTTAATTTTTTCAAATTTTGTAATTTTAATGTCAAATAAAGTAAAAGTCTTATTTTATAATATTGTATACAAAACTGCTTAAAAAAATAATTTTTTTAAAAGAAAATAAAAAATAGAATTTGATTAATAAATAATTAATATTTTATTAAAACTACATAATTAATATATTTTATGATACTTACAAAATTTTATTATTACGTTTCATTGTTTTCAATATATCATTATAACGTAGGAATTTCCAATTACTATTTTTTCGTTTAGATCTGGCTAGTTCTGACTATTATTATTGATTGGACGTATTGTTCGATTTTTGAATATTAAAAGTTCACCTAAAAAATATAGTTATTTTTGTAAAATAACATAAAGGTTTTAATAAAGAATGAACCTAATCCCGGGTTTCATACTTTTAATTTAACTCATCGTAAGTTAAAATCGCGTATGCATATTTCAATAATTTTTTATTTTATTACATATAGTTAGTTTTATTCAATTATAATCAAGTTGTATCACCAGTAATTTTTCTAAAAGTGATATTAGTCGTATTACTAAAACAATCTACTGTAATTACAATTTACGTATTTACTAAGTAGAAAATCAACTGTTTCTTTAAATCTAAAAATACTGAATATCATCAAAAAGATTTTAAATACTGAAACATTTAATGGCAAGTCTAAAAAACAAGATGATCTTACATTTTAATTTTCATTTCAACAATTCATTACTTTAACCAATTAATAAAACTTTTTATAACTTATAAATTTTAGAATTATTTTATAATTAAGGTAACTTTTATATATGAACCATACGCAACAAGGCCAATTATAAGTATCCATAACTGAATATATTTTTTAAAATAATTATTCAACTATTTAATAATTGAAAAGCTATTTTAACATAAATTTCTACAATTTTCTAAAACTATGTATAGTAATTTGAAATAATTATTTTTCTGATGCTTTATTTTCATTTAAACTAAACAAGAGTAATTGTTACAACTAATATTTTGCGTTTATGTTATCTAAATATAACAAGAGTGCATGTTTATGTCGTATAACTTTTATATTCTTTTCTCAGATCTATAATATCTTAATATAATATCTTAATAATACCTTTCATAATCGCTTATTCTCCCTGTAATTATATCAGGATGCAATCACAACATTTGCATCAACAAGTTGTAATTTAATGTGAAGTTAACCAATTTTAATGATTGGAAAAGATAGGTCACTGTTAATATCTTATTTTTTTGATAAAACCAGAGAATTCCGTCGTATCATAACAGGTTGAAGATGAGTTGAGGAGCAGTATATATGGGAGTATAAATAGTAAAAGATGTACATATATGGTTTCACAGAGTAAATTTTTGTAAAAAAAATTTATTTTTGTTTCTATGAACAATCAGGTGAAATTGTGTATAATACATAATTAAAATATTGTGTAAGAATACAAAGTATAGTAGATGAACTAAGGATATTTGATTAATTATTCCTTAGTCAGCTAGAATAGTATGATAATTCAATTGAAGTTTCATAACAGTATCAGTGTATGTAATACTAATGTAATCAGTAAATATTAAATATTCTTCGAATAATTAAAAAAATTTTCTTTATAAATTTTCATTATTATTACTGATTATAGCAGGTTTCAAATCATATGTACATAATTTATATTTTAAAACATCTAGTTTCATTCTGTTATTATAAACTTCACCACTTTTAATTATTTGTATAATTGATGACAATAAGTCATAGATTTTTTTTCGATCATTTTTATCGCAAACACAAGCAATAACTTGTTGTGGCTTGAAATATACTAGAAAAGCCTTTAGTTCACTATAAGAAGCATGTGTCGAATAACATAAATTTTTTGTCTGTTTTCTTATGTTATCCCATTCAATAATGCAAGATGTATTCTTATCAATCCATTTCTTAGCTGAAAGAACGATAGTTAAAATATGCTTTTGATTAATATTAGATCTGCATTTTAATTTAAGTGTGTTTTTCCAACTATTTTTATTAATACATGCATGAATGGGCGTGCTTTCACTAACATCAGTAACACAATTAGTTAATATTTCCATTTGCTTATAAATCTTATAAGCCTGATCTTGAACATGAATTTTTTTATGCAAAATTTTTGATAATTCAATATAAATAAACTCACTGCCATATAACGCAGATATTTCTAATAAAACAACGTTTTTTGGATCTTTTTCTATCCAATCTTTTACAGTTATATATAGTTCTTTCATACTACTAAATCTACTTGGAAAAAAATTATAGTCTACATTAAAAAATGTTGTATCTATGTAAATTGTATCGATATTTAATGGAATAAATTCTGTGTTATAAATATAATGTAAAGATTTTAAGTTTGAAAAATCTTCTATATTAATCCTAAAATCACCTGTATATAAGATTCTTTTATCTTTCAAATTATATAAAAACATAATTGATCCTGGGCAATGCCCAGATGAAATACTAGATACTTTTAATGAATGATGAATATTATCATATTTATAATTTATAATTATTGAATCATTTAATGATAATATTTTCACATATTTATTTAAATCACTACTTAAATTAAAAGTATGTTTTAAAATTAATCTACTTATATGACTACAATAAAGAAATTTATTTGTTTTCATTAAATAATTAAAAAATTTATAATCTAGTCCCTTCATATGATCATAATGACAATGACTTAAGAAAAACACAGATGAATTTAAATTTTCTTCATCAAAGCAGTCAATAGAAATACCAGGAATTTCATCAATAAATCCAAGAAATGTTGACATTTTTTCAACTTTCTCTTGAATAAAAATAATTATTTTAATTAATGCACAAATTCAAGTTTAAATATTGCTCTCACAAAATATAGATACATACACATACACCCACGTATATATAATCACTCTCTTAACCTTTTTTGTTATTTTTATTTAAGATTTGCTATAACAGGAATTACATCAATTTTCTTGAAAGAATTCTTTAATTATTATCTTATTTTAGATCAAATATAATTCGAATTAGGTTAAGTTAATAAATCGATTGTCACTATCATATAAAATGATTTATTTTATTAACATTGTTAGTGAAATTATTCTTGTGATTTATTTTAAAGTTCATTTAATATTGAAAAGCATATCTTATAATATTTTCAATAGTCCAAATTTATTCACAGTACATGTACATATTCAGGCCATCATATCAAAATGTCAGTGAATAGTTTAGGTTTTACATTGGATACAATTTAAGTTCATAATAATATTGGTATATGTTAAAATCTTTTTAAATAAATTATTTTATGTAATTTTTAAGATGTCAAGTTATATGTATCGTACAAGTTAGTGATTATAACACATTTTATTTAATCAATAATATATATTTGATTTATTTCATAGAAACACATACCATTTACTCCACTATTAATATTTTATAGTCAGATTATTATTAATATTTACTTATTCAAAATAAAAGAATATTACGATAAGTACACTACGAATTAATTATTATTTGAGAATAATAAAGCTTATTAAATGGATATAAGGATTATAGTGAAATTGGAATAAAAATTTATTTTGTTTTAAAATCATGAATATGGTATGTAACAATGAGTTATTTAATATCATTAAAAAATATTAATTAACTATTAATTAAAATTATATATTATTTAAATATATTTAATAGTTTTATTTATATAAAATAATATGTTAAAACTGAAAGTTCCCTAGCTTTCTTAATTAATTCAAGTTTAGAAATATAATAGAAATTAAAAAGTGAGAGTTTTACGTTTTCCGCAAACAGTGGCGTACTCATGCTAAAAACGTTACTGGGTAACCTATCAGTGTAGACTGTTACATGAGCCTTTGATAATTAAATTATTCAATGTTTACGATTAATATTATTCACTTATTTGAATATTGTATTCTAATTTATATTTAAATATTAAATCTAAATTAATTTTAAATTTGAATACAATATTAATTATTCGATACCGTATTAACTGTACATACTGTATAAATTTCATATACGAACTATTAGTAAAAATTGTAATTTCATATTAAACTGATCTTCCATTTCCTTTTAATTATTTTACTGATACTTAGAAACATATCAAAGTTAATGTATTCATAAGACTTGTTAAATAGTAAAAATTTTATATTTTTCTTCTAATTATTCAATCAGATGCTTTAAATTTAAAAATATTTTAAAATGTATATTGTTTATAATCTCAAATATAATTATTTTGTTATTCATTATTATATATTTGTTATAATAATTTTAAATGTTAATTTCTTTTATTTTTAACATATACAGAAATTCTTATAGAATTTCTATTATTAATCTTATAAATATAAATATATAAATACATGTACTTTTTATTAATTTTAGTTTAATTAATTTTAGTTTTTATTAATACTTAACATCTGAATCAAAAACAAAAGCAATATGAATAATCTTTTTGGTAATTATAAAAAATTTAATAAAACAAATAATCATGAGTCTCAAGAATCAAAAATTATTTTCGCAATGGATAATTGTAGTGTACATTTGAATGAAGATAAAACCACAAACAAATATTTAAAATTAAAAGTATCATCTTCAATTGTGGATAAGATGAAATATATTATATTTATTACTCTTTTTGTGTTTGGTTTTTGTTTACTTTATAAATATTCAATATGTTTTAAAATAGTTCAAGTAAAACATATTAAAACTCAGGTAGAGTTAAATCATTTTTGTGTCAATAGAAAGAACAAATTAATAAAGAATAACAGTTTATTTGACACTTCTAAAAATGAATCTATAACAAAATATCAAAAAGATAATGGTGTGCAATGTAAATTTGTACCATTAAATATGCGATTTGATTGCCATCCAGAAAGTGGAGCATCACAACTTAATTGTATTCAAAGAAGATGTTGTTGGCATCCATTGCATCAATTTGATTATAAAAAGCAAGTTCATCTCAATGTGCCATATTGTTACTATCCCAAAAATTGGAGCTTATATGAATATGAAAATTTTACTAAACATGGTAATGATTTTTCAGCATTTTTACATTTAAAGCAAAATTCTTTTTATAAAGAAGATCTACTATTTATTAAATATGAAAGTATTAGAGTAGATAATACTATTCTAAGGATGAAGGTAATTTCATTTTATTAAAGAATTAAAAAAGAAAATAATGGATTTTATATTTCCCATGAATAATAAAAGTTGTTCTATTTTTACAGATATTTAACCCATCAGAAAAACGTTATGAACCACCTTTACCAATAAGAATAAATTCAGAAGCTAATTTAAAAAAAACAGTTTATGCTCAGTATGAACTTAAAACTGATGAATATATACCCGGTTTTCAAGTAATACGTGCAAGTGATAAACAAGTTTTGTAATTATATTTAAATCATTTATTAATGAACTGATTATTAAAATAGATTATTAAAATATATTATAAAATGTATAAAATTTCAGATTTAATTCTATTGGAATTGGTGGTTTCATATTTGCAAATCAATTTTTACAAATTAGTTCTACATTACCATCTCATAATCTTTATGGTCTTGGGGAACATAGAAGTAATTTAAGATTAAATACAAACTGGCAAAAATTTACACTTTTTAATGCTGACCAACCACCAACCGAAAATGTATATATTCTATTATAGATACGATTCTTTTAATTGATTATAAATTTTATTAATATACTGTTAATGAAGCAATATTTATATTTTAGGCAAATTTGTATGGATCTCATCCATTTTATATGATACTTGAACAAACAGGAAAAGCTCATGGAGTATTATTTTTAAATAGTAATGCAATGGGTAAGTTTCAAAAGTAATTTATGATTATTAATTAATAATTTTAATTTGTTTTCATTTACAGATATTATTTTGCAACCAGCACCTGCTATAACATTTAAAAGTATCGGAGGAATTTTTGATATCTACTTTTTTATTGGTCCAACACCTGCCGATGTTTTGAAGCAATATTCAAAGATTATAGGAAAACCTTTTTTACCTCCTTATTGGTCTCTTGGTTTTCACTTATGCAGATTTGGTTATGGTTCTTTAAATAATACTAAAGCTGTTTTAAAAAGAACAAGAGATGCTCTGATTCCATTTGTTTGTATCAAGATAATTTAAGTAATTAATATTAATATAAATTAATATAAGTTTAAAATATGTTTATTTATTTTTTAGGATACCCAGTGGAATGATTTAGACTATATGGATAAAAGAAATGATTTCACATACGATAAAACAAAATTTAAAGGTCTTCCCAATTTTATAAAAGAAATTCATATTGTAAGTTATAATTATTCATATATATATATATATATATATAGATAATATTGTGTATTGTTTGTTTTATATATTATATATGTTTTCTATATTTTATTAAATGAGTACAGTTTGTATTTGTACGCAACTATGTGAAAAAAACGTTGAACTTTTTAAATAAATTATTATTTTAAGAAAAATTTAAAAAATTGAATATAATCATTTTTAATTTGTTTTATATTTATTTTTAGTTTTTAACATTATAAATCATAATAAACTATTGTTGTACTAATTGTACATAATATCGTTACACATTTATTTTATTGATTTTTTTCAATAAAAAAAAATTTTTGAAGAAAAATATAGAAACTAACTTATGTTAATTAATGCATTAAAAAATTTAAAATTACATTACTACTTGATTAATGTCCTTTAAAAAACATTATGTGTTTGTACAAATTTAGAGCTTAACAATCGTATATAAATATTAAGAATATCATGGAAATTGAGAGTAATAATTTTTTTTTTAATTATGTATTTATAGGCTGGAATGCACTACATTCCATTAATTGATGCTGGTATTTCAGCGTCTGAGAAGAAAGGAACATATATTCCGTATGATGAAGGTGTTCGCAGAGGTATTTTTATTTATAATGCAAATGATACTCTACCTTTTAAAGGCAAAGTGTGGAATTTTGGGTCTACTACTTGGCCTGATTTTACAAATCCAGAATCGAAATTGTATTACACAGAAATGATGAACGATCTGCATAAAAGCTTTGAATACGATGGTGCTTGGATAGTGTGCATTAATAAAATTATTTCAACTTTAATCTATTTATAAATACAATTATATAATTCAGTTAAAAGTTGTAATTTTTAGGATATGAATGAACCTTCAAATTTCTATAATGGTTACATTAATGGTTGCATACCCAATTCCTTGGATAATCCTCCATATTTACCAGGTATAGTTGGGAATTTATTATCAAGGAAAACTATATGTATGAATGCAAAACAATATCTGGGATTCCATTATAATCTTCATAATATTTATGGTACTAGTCAAGCAATGGTAGTTAACTAGTAAGTCTTGATAAATATTGAATTTTGAAAATTATAAATAATCTTAAATTTTTTGTTTTATTATTATCTACTTTTTTGTAAGTTATTTATTTTATATGTATTTGTATATTTATTAATATTAATAATATATACTGTCAACATATTTTTAGTGCATTAAAAAAAATTAGAAATAAGCGACCATTTATTATTTCTCGATCTACATGGATAGGTCATGGCTCTTATGCAGGACATTGGACTGGTGATGTTTACTCTTCATGGCAAGATAAAAATTGTTTATATTTTTATACTACTTAAATTAAAAGACATTGAGATAATATAATTGATTACAGGCATGATTTAAGAATGAGTATACCACAAATATTAGTTTTTAACTTATTTCAAATTCCAATGGTTGGAGCTGATATATGTGGTTTTGATGGTAATACTACTATGGCACTTTGTAATAGATGGATGCAATTAGGGGCTTTCTATCCATTTTCTCGAAATCATAATTCAGATGATACTATTGTACATAACATTTAAAACAAAATTAAAATAAAAATATTTAATTTTAAAATAATTTTTAAATTTATAAGGAACAGGATCCAGTTGCAATGGGTAAAATAGTAATTATGTCTTCTAAAAAAGCTTTAAGAATGCGATATTATCTATTACCATATTTGTATTCTTTATTTTATCGTGCTCATCTATATGCTGAAACTGTAGCCCGTCCTTTATTTGTAGAGTAAATGTTTAGAGCTATTGCTCAATAATAATATTTTTATAAATAATATATTATAAATATTTATTCTAATTATTTTTAGATTTTATGATGATCCAAATACATTTAATATTGATACACAGTTCTTATGGGGTAGCTGCCTTTTAATAGCACCTGTACTTAGTGAAGTAAACTTTAATTAACAAAACTATTATGTTTATTTAATAAATGATAATCTAAATAACGAAAATTTTTATACAAAATTTTTTTAATACAATATATTTTCCTCTTAAATTATTCTCATTTATATTTTATTAATGTTAATATAATAATTAACTTCTAAAAAATACATTTTTAACTTATGATTATAGGGAAAAACAGAAGTATATGCTTATATTCCAAAAGGAATTTGGTACAATATTTATACAATTGAAATTTTGTCTTCTAATGGTCAAAATTATACATTAGATGCCCCAATTGATACAATACCTGTATTAATTTATGGTGGATGCATATTACCAGTTCAAGAACCAAGTATATCAACTACATTGAGTCGTCAAAAACCATATGGTTTACTTGTTGCTTTGAATGAAAAGGAAAGTGCTAAAGGAGAATTGTATTGGGATGATGGAGATAGCTTAGGTAAAATTGAGTACCCTTTTAAATTTTAGTAAAATATATAAAAAAGAAAGAAATTAAATAAAAATTTTAATTAATTTTATCTTTGTAGATTCTATTGAGAAGAAACAATATATATTATTTAAATTTGAGGTTATAAATAATGAATTAAAAAGTACTATAATTGAAGGTTCTTATAACAAATACATGAAATTAGGAAAAATAATTATTATGGGTGTTTCTAAAGTTGTAAAACAGGTATTCTTTAACAAAAAAGAAATTGTTTTCAGATATGACAAAGAAAAATTTGTAAGTTACCGCATTTTTTTAACTACTAATTTAATGTTTACCTACAAATAATATTTTTATAATATTTTGTTTAGAATTTAGAAATCAATAACTTATTAGTGGATTTTAAAAAAAATTTCATTCTGAATTGGACAAATGAATAGAAAAATTAATTTATAATAATAGGAAAAGTAATAATGATAAAACAATTATAATGGTGTACAGAATAATTAATGATAATTTATAGATTTTATTGTATTTCTTACTAATTTTTGTATTTTAATTTTAATAAAATATAATAAACTATACAATTGTACTATAAATATATAATAAAAATTCATGATTTATTTAATTGTAATTTATTATATATATTAACTACTATCAATTAATCTACTTATCAATTACATACAATAAACAGTTTAAACATTTTATAAAAAATTGTTTACATAAGAAAATATTTATCCATAATCTATATTATATCTAATACATAAATAAATTCAAGATAAATATATTATTTTGTGATGAATTAATTTTATGGTATATTATTTTTCAAGTGTATTAGATAATTTCCAATAAATTATATATATTACAATAAAAATATTTTTTAAAATCTGAATAAATAAAATGTACATTAAGCTCAATTACAATTATATTGCATATATACATTTTCAATTTATATTCAGAAATTAAAATTTTATATTCATAATTTAAACAATATTATAAATATAAACAATGAATTACAATACATATGACTTATAATCATTTTATAGCAAAAAATTATAAAATGAAACATTATAATTATTATTAAATACTTATTAAAAGTCAAGGAATCATTGTATTCGTAAGCTATAAAACTATGAAATTACCGTAATTTTTATTATTATCATTACAAATAATATTATTATTGGATTAATAATGTAGTTATTAAAAATGAATTAGAAAAAAATATTATAAAGTAGTTATTAAAAAAAAATTAGAAAAAATTAAACATCTAATTTCCTTTTTCTTTTTGTAAGTACAAGAAAAATTAGCTGTTTATGGATAAATAAAGATTAATTTAAATAACAAATTTGATTATCGAAAGAATTATAAATTATATTACAGGAACGTAAAGCATAAAGATACCGTGTTTGCAGTTAATTTTACATAAAGTTTTATTGCTCTTTAATAAATATTTTATTTTATTTTAGAACTATTTTGATTTTATTCTATTCTAGTAAATTAACTTATAAAATTAATTCATAAGTTTTTACATATAATTTATAATATGATGCTTTTTACTAGTAAAATATTGTTTGTTTTAATAATTGTATTAAAATAATTAAAATATATAAAATAAATTAAAAAAAAATAATATTAAAAGAAAATATCTATATTCAACTATGACTTGTAAATCATACTTTTTTAATTGCATTATTTAAACAAAGTACATATGCGTAAATTTTTATGTTTATTTTAAGATGATGAATTTTTATATAAAATATGCAAAATAAAAACAATATGTAACAAAAACATAATATGGTATTTCAAATTATATATAAATTTCAGGAAAATGTTTGAAGACCTTACAACAAAGGTGATTAAATAATTAAATGTTTTTGTTAGTTACAATTTCCTACTCTAATTTAATTCTTTCTATGATTAAATAGTTTAATTATAAAACAAAGTTTTATCAATCATAGAAAAGGTACTTTTATAATATTTTTGTATATTCAATAAAATTAATTTTGTTAAAATGTTTTTATGAAATTTGTATTTATCTTGTACATCATAATTATACATGAAAATATAAATATTATTTTAATTAATATATAATTCTGTAACTCATAAATCCATAAAGTAGGAAAACAAGTCAATTATTTTCATGCTTCTTAAATTACAAATTTTTTAAATTCTATATGGAAGAGATATTCGAAGTTTATTTAATTGTATAATTGTATAATTGTTTAATTGTTTAATATGATAACAAATATAAAAAGTTTGTATTGTGTGAAATATTATATTGTATTTATTAATTTTCTTTTGAAAATAATTCTTATGTATAGTTATTTAAATACCATATTAATTATATTAATATTTTTGTAATGATCTTATAATATGAATGTTGCACATGTAGCATTTCAAGAGTTTTATTAAATATAAAAAAAAATTAATCAAAAAAATTTCTAAATTATTTTAAAACATTTTTTAAAATATATTTTTTATAAAAAGTTAATATATATTATGAAATTATAATTATAAAATAGTTCGTATTAATTTCATATCATATCAATTAATAATGGTTGAAATTCAAATTGCATACATTGTTGTATTAATAATAGCATTTATAATTTTTCAAATTATAACATTAATAATGTAGATAATAGTACAATCAATATAAAAATAAGCAAAACTGTAGCTATAGTATTCTTAAATTTTATAGAAAATATAAGCTAAAAACAAATTATACCTGCATTTTACGTATAAGAATTTTTTAATGTAACTTATAAGAAGTAATGAAAAGCTTTCAATTTTGAATATAATAATATATTTAAAATATAGTATTTTATTAGTGAGTATATATTAACAATTCTAATTATGTATTAATATTAATGTTTATTAATATTCTGTTTTTTATATTAATTCGATTAAAAATTTTAATTTAGAAGTATTACTTGTTTTATATAAAAATGATTCCTTATTTTAGAAGAAGAAAGAAAACAGAACAAATGCTTAAATATCTACTGGTTTTCCAGTCTTTAAAGTATTTTCTTCACATACAAATAAATATTTCATATAAAGAATAGCAAGTAATAATTTTTGTAATATAACATATCTTGTGTAATATTCAATAATTTTTAACTTGATTGCGTGGTGATTTCACAACGATTGCAAAGATAATAGCTCAAAATATATTTCGTCGAATAAATTTTACAAAGGTATAAGTTTATTTTTCTTATATTTATATTGTTAATATGTTTATTTTTCTAATTTGTAAAAGTATTGAATGTTTGATAATACAGTTTAAACCTCTTAGTAATATTCATATTTTTAATATTTTTTATTTAAATTACAAATACTATTTTAAATTATTATTGTCAAAAATTAAACTATTTTAAATATATAGTAAATATGAAGTAGAATTTTTTGATATCTTGAAAAAAGAAGAATCTAAAAATTTGTTTTATAAATTTATAAATATCATCATATTATTACTTAAAATGATAGATAAATGTTTGTTTCATTTTGTAAAATTGCTAAAGTTATTAGTTCATTTAATGAAAAATCCTACAAATTGATCACAATATGAATAAATAAAAATAACTTATAACATGACATTTAAAATATATAAATTATAAATAAAAAAATGATCAATAAATAATTTGATGTCTTGTTGATATCGAATAATATGAAATTATATTTTTAATTAGTTATTTAATTCGTAAGCTAATTTTTTATTATTTTTAGATTATTTTTAATATTTTTAATATTTTTAAAATTAATTAAATTTGTGTACTACATTTCTATTATGTTATATATAATGCGCGTATTTTTAATGTTTTGAAAACCAAATTAGTCAGTATATATTTTTGATCTACTATATTTAAAATCCTTTGTGTAATTTAAATACATTAGTATTAAGATTAATAATCTGATATACTGTTTTAAAAACTTTACTGTAGTTTTGATCTAGATATACTGTTCATAAAGATTTGCTGTACTTTTAATCTTAAAATAATGTTTTTGTTGGCATTTGTATAAGTTAATAATACAAAATTGTAATAAGAAAATATTTAAAGTATTGGTAAATAATATATTATTTAAATCTAATTAAATTAAATATATAAATTTGAAGGGTTTTAAATAAAAAAATGTTTAGTTTACATTTTGTTGCACGTAAATCATATACATATATTTTTTTGTAACACAGTCTTTAAGTAATAAAAACATTTTCGATTTTACATATAAGTTTACAAGATTAAAAAAATTAAATTGTTACAAATGTATTGGCTTATAATATTCTAATGTTGCTTAAATCTAATTATTATCAACCACGCCATCATGTTTATTAATGTAAAATTATTTTATATCAAATAACTTATATATTATCAAAACTTAGATTATATAAATCTACTTTATTGTCTAAGCTTTCATTTATTTAAAATTGGTGGTAGTATAAATTTAAATTTATATCATAATTTCAAAGTCTGAATATGAATTATAACGAATTAATAAGAATTTTTATACCAATATAAATACCGCTAAAAACGAAACACTATATTTGAAAATTTGTAATTGTAAATATTTAAAATAAATTTACTTTTAAAAAATTATATTATTGAAATATTAATGATACATGTGCTATTTTTATTTATTAACTAGAAAGAGAAATAATATGAATTTTGTGCTGTTGACTATAATCACATTAGATATTAGGAGTTTAACGTAAAATTATATTTGTATTCATTTTCAAAAAAAAAAGTTTACCAAAGGTACTTCATCAAATTAAAATATTTCCAATGTAATATAATCATATTGAAATATCACACTGAATTATAATCTCCAAAGTTTGATATCATGAACTTATTACTTATGAAATTTAAATTTGGATTAATATAGAATCTATGGAGTTCTAAATAATAGATTAATTTATAATAAACATAAGATTAGTGACCTTATAAAACTATTTCTGTATAAAGCTGTAAATATTAATTGTATCATAAATATAATTTATTTGTATATTAAAAATTTATTTAAAAATTTTTTTATGTAAGATAAATCCATTCGCTTTAGTTGTAACAAAATCTGTATGTATAACATATAGAATTTTCAAAGATTTTATGTAAATTATGTAAAAAAATTTATTGTTTCTAATTAAATATAGTAAATTTTTTTTTCTTTTAATTAGAGCGGTATGTAAATTATGTTGTGAAATTTATGGATAAAGTTCATTGCACATAGAAAAATCTAAAATCGTAAGTATATATCTATATAAGCAATTGATCGAATATTTTTATTATAATACAAGTATTTTAGGCATATAATAAAAATGCAAAATTAACTGTATAACTGGATATTACAAATATACACTAAAACTTCTCTTGGAACAAGTAATGAGATTTTTCTATCACTCAATTAAGGAGTACTAAATTTATAAATGTTTATTTAAAGATTTTGTAATACTTCACTTATTTATTAAGTAAATTTAATCGAAAATAAGTATAAGTGACTCCATTCCTTTGCTGAACAAACTTTGTATTATTGATGATTAAATTTGATGCATATACATTTTTCACTGTGTAGTGTAAGTTAAATAAAATATTTTAGTAAATTACTAATATAATATATCTGTATAATATTCACCTATTAGTAATACAAAAGAAAAATTTTATAGATGAAACAAACTGTTTTATATTATTTAGAAAAACTAAGATAAGATAAATTATACAAAAACTTATATTGAAAAAAAATGTGCAAATAATTAAACAATTATATTTTAAACAAGTATAGCTAACAATTTCTATAGTTATGTATATATCTTATAAGCATATTAAAACTATTGCTTTGGTAGTCTAAAATGAATTATGCAATTTAATATAAAGTTTTTCTATAAAAGCTATACAAATTTCAAAATTACTTCAAATGACTTTGGCACTCATTGATTATACAAATCTCATGATTTACTCTCTTAAAATTAAAATAACATATAAATTGCACATTTTTCTTGTACAAACGTGATTATAACATTTTTTATCTTTTATATTACTGATATTTTGGCCTTTCTTGGCATAATATTCTACGATATTTCAAACATAAGTAACATTCAGATTTTGATATGAAATATTTTCAGTTAAGTCACTATTATTGTTCTCTCATTTTCTGTACTTTAGATACTTTCCCTTTTTGATTTATTTTTCTTTTATCTGAATTTGTATAAATTAATTAAACTGAATAAAATATATTTATCAAATATTACTTTCATATTATACAAAATTTTATAATATTAAAAAACAAAAACAAAATATCTTAACATATATTTTTGCATAAGAATATATAAGGAACATTCTTTAAAAACATGTTAAGTATAAATATCTTTGAAAATAATTATTTTATAAAAATTTAATCATACGTTTAGTACGTTAAATATATTACAAATCTAACCAAATCTTTTAATAATAAATACAAATCATTAAATATAATTTTGTAATAATTATTACTGAAATAGAATTTAATTTCTCAGAGAATTTACGAAACTCTCGTCACTTTAAAATACTTTTTAAAAGTCAGTTTTTAATTAAAATAATTATGTAAATATAGACTCGGCTTTGCCAAATTCTCATTTTATACTTTAAATAAGTATGAAAGAATGAATACTTTGGATAAGTATGAAACATTAAAATATATATATTGTATAATAACGATAAATATTTACTATATAATTATTTATTGTCGATTCACATTTACCTAACCTATTTAATGTTCAGTGTATTGGTCTTTTTTCTAAATTGTTTTTATAAAAAATGAAAGTATATAATTAATTAAAATAGGACTAACAATAAAAATTAAATTACAGTATAATTATGTTCATAATATCATAAATTATTTATTTTTACGCAATTTTCAATATCCGTTTTTCTTAAACAATAAGATAAAACATTGAATAAAAATATTTCAGTACTTTTTCTCACTAATATGTGACTTTTGGCATAATATAAGTTTATGTTACATAGTTCTGAAACATTTCTATTTTTACTTGTTTTATTTGTTAAATTTTACATATATTATGATAACTTTTCAGGATTCCTGTTAAACTTGACTATTAAACCTCGTGCTACAAAATTGATCGCAGTGCGGATATTTAAAATTTGGTATACAGCTTGTATGATAAAATTAATTTGATCGCATATTAATGGTAAGGCGGTGTAAATAATTTATACATTTTTTGACATAATTTATCAGTACAAGTACGTTCATGTTTTCGCACTGAAATATATGATTTAATTTGAACTAAATTAAATGTTTGAATCAATGGACTACTAAAGTATTATATTATCAATTCAGATGAGTACATTTTCTTACAATCAATATTTTAATTATAATAAGCTATTCTAGAATAAATAAATGCACTGTGCCTATTAATATTAAAAAATTTTATTATGTTAATGTTTTATTAAATATGAACGATGTCTTTTTAAACTGTTCAATAAATTGTAATTTGAATTTCCAGATGAGTGTATGAAATAATTTAGTCAATTGCACTTTAATCCCCTAATAAATATTATAAATAGTTTATTATAGGTTTACAACAAACAGAATAATATTTGGCAATCTACGAAAATTTATACCCTTTACATAATCCTTTGAATAACTTTTTTTTGTAAAGTTTTTTTAAACATTAATTACAGTTCTAAGTCTTTCTTAAACATCAATTATAATTAATTAAAAGTTCGTTCTTATCATAGTGTTTAATAAAGACAGAGTTATTCTTAAATTATTATAATAATAATTTTGATTATTTATTGACTGATTACCGTGATCATATTTTAATAAAAACAAATTTACAATAATTTTTAAATAACACCCTTACTTATGAATTGTCATTTTTTAAAAACTTAATATACAAATTAAAATATATTAATTTAGAATAAAATATTTTAATAAAATTAGAATTTTATGAATAAGAGCAACTAACAATAAAAAAGCGAAATAAAAAATATATCCACGATAGATGAAATAACGAATACAAATTTTATTTTATTTTTATAAAATCAGTATAGAATCGGAAATATCGTTATTGCCTTAAAAGGAATTTCTAACCTGCGTAAACTGACAAATATCTTATTTAAGTAAATATTTTTATGTGGCAGTAAGAGTTTCCAGTACTTCTTCTGGAGTCTTCTTCATTTTCCGAAAACTATTCCAATGTTCTTTGGGCACTGTCCATTGTAGAAATACAGCAAGATTTTGCCTTAGTGCGTCAAATTCAGACATCGAATTAGTTTTAATAGCCTCCTTACCAGCAGAAACTAAAGAATCTATAAGAACTTCATCAATAAGCCTTTTACCAAATCCTAATTCATCCAGTCTATCAGGTTTGGAAATTCTCTTCAACAAGACAGCTAGTAGTAGTCTCATTTTTTCAATTGACATATTTCTATATTTACCTATCGTATTAATTGATATTCCTTCATTTCCATCTCTAGAATTTCCAGGATCTGAACTAGTTGAGTCATTATTAGATTCAACCTGGCAATCTTTTTCGTGAGCTTCTAAATCATTTTTAATTCTGAAAAAATTGTTGCATTTTCTACAAGAATATGGTTCATTTCTACCGTGAATACATTTCATATGTTTTTTCCAATGAGGAAGTTGCGTAAATCCAGCATTGCATTCAGCACATTTAAAGGGCCTTTCTCCCGTGTGTCTTCTAGTGTGTAATTTTAAGGCAGTAGAATGGGCAAAAGCTTGCCAACACACAAGACATCTAAAGGGTCTTTGTCCAGAATGTGTTCTTTGGTGAACGGTCAGTTGACTTTTTTGAGCAAAACGTTGACCACAGGTGGCGCAGCCATGTGGTCTATCCTTAGCATGAGTTCGCATATGCTGAGGTAAATGACCTTTAAATGTTTTATTACAAATAATACAAAGAAAGGATTTAACATCTCTATGTAAGCACTCTAAATGTTTTTTCAAGGCATCTCGCCGTACAAAGCCCCTACCACAAATATCGCATTTGTGGTCTTTTTGACCATTATGACGTTTTACATGTAAAGCTAAATTTGCTGCGCACGTAAAAGTTCCAGAACAAAGGTGACAACTATATGGTTTTATTTGATTATGGGTACGGCGATGCTGAACTAGTTGACCTCCTCTGGCAAAACTCTTATCACAATCGGAACATTTGTAGGGTTTAAAGCCCGTATGAGTACGCACATGAAGTTTAAGTCGTTCTTTTAAAGGAAATTCTTTGCCGCATTCATCACATTTGAATAATGGACCAGAGGTATGCACAACTTTATAGTGGTTACGTAAACCTCCACTACCTTTAAAGTGTGCTTTACATATGAGACAACAATATTTTTTCGGTTGATCTTTAGTATACTTATCATTGCATAACTCTTTTTTTTTCATTTTATTATGACTATTATCCAGAACATTGTTGTTCTCTTGCTCCACAAGGTAATTTGCCTGTATTATATTATTAATTTTATTTTGAAGTTCTTTTTCCGACTGATCAAAGAATTCTAAGGTCGAATTCGATCTTTTTGGCTTTGATAATGCATCTGATTTCGTTATTATAGTTAAATTTTTTCTAGGTCTACCCCTAGTTCGAGGTTTTACATTTGATTGAAAATCGATTTTCTGTAATTTTTTATCTTTCTTGATTTCGACAAAATTTTTAATTATAATTTTTTTTTTAACGATTTTCGATTTTTTAATTTTTGTATTTGAACAAAAATCTTGCTGACGATATACATAAATTTCTTCATCATTCTTATCTTCAAAATATTCAAAGTCTCCATTTTCATTTTCATTTGATTCATTATTTTGCACATCGTCAATTTTTGATTTTTTTGTTCTATTATTGCACTGTAAATTATTTAATTTTTTAACAAAATTCTTATCTTCAGTTTCAAATTGAAATTTGTTTGTACTATTTAAAAGCTTCCACTTTTTACCTTTTCCCCTTTTTGAATAACCAACTGTTTCCAACTGTTCAAATTCATGAATTTGTTGATGTGAAAAACTGCGTAAAGCTCTTAGACCATCTGTGACGTTGATATCTTTATCATCAATATTTTCTTTGATTCGTGATTGTTCGACTGGCTTTAATTCTGTCAGCTGAATTTCTTCTCTTACTGGCTCAATTATTGATTCTATGATCATCTGCTTTGTATTTGTCATGATTGATGTATATAATAAGTCAAGATTAATCAAATAGGAACTTTTTGAGAATGGTATAATTGTTTTGAAATTTATAAATTTGATCTGATTGTTGGTATTTATTAAAAAGCATAGTTCTTAAAAAGATTTTAAATCAATGACAATTACTTAATATCACTAATTGTATAGACAATTTAATTTATTTTCACTTATCAAATCACCTATAGATATGTGTGTAGAACCCAGTCAAATTGCTATCTCAATGTTCTTTAAGGATACATCTGTATTTACAATTATGAGAACTTTGTGAGAATCTAGAGACATGTTCTTCTATTCTTTATTTTGTCTCCTTGTCACTAAAAACTTTATTTTATTTCATTTTTTGAACACTTACTATGTTGTATAATTTCTATGCTTTATACAGTTCCATCATTCAAAAAACCTGAATACAGAATTACTATTTATGAATTTTTTTGTTAAGTTACGCAATAAAAAAAGCATAAAACCTTTAAAATTTATTTTTACTTATTTTAAAAATGAATAATAATTTAATATGATTGTTTCTTCTTTGATTATTACATTAATTATTTCGTAATCAGTCTCATATTAAGGCTTTTGACAAATTCTTAATTTAAAAAAATTGTAATCTTATAAAAATATTTTGAGTAACTTTATTTCAATTTCTTTTCTAAAATTCTTTTACTGACATACTTTTTAGAAATACAAAACACATTTTTCGTATTTTGGCATATTTTATATACATACCATGATATATACACGTGCTCACTTTCATATAATCCTTGTTTTTAAATATTATTAAATTCTAAAGGTTTGATATTAATTCAGCGGTTATATATATCACGTTATAAACTAATTTAAATATGGAACTTCTGTGAATAAGTACAAAGTATTCGTTTAAACATTTAAGAACATGTCAAAGTTAGGCTGTCTACTAATATTCTAGGGCTTAGTTTTTACGCGGGCGTCGGAATCACCAAGTCCTATACTGTCTCGCTTTTGGTCGTAAAAATCATCGATTCTTTCACCCATTGAGGTTTGCCCTTTCCTTTAGTAGACCTCGGTCACCTGTGCCTCCTTCCTCTCCTTTTTCGCTCAGAGGCGACTTGCCGCCGTTCCGCCGGCGATGGACTGAGTTGAAAAAGCACCACAGTCGGCTCAGTTCCCCCAATGTCGGAACTAAACATATATATTCACATACATACGTTGTGGCGCAAGCGCGCAATCGTCGGTTCGATAACGTCAAGCGTTCGTTCACGCTCTCACTCCCTTTTTCTCTCTTTCTCATTGTCAATCTATCTCTCTCTTTCTCTCTTTCTCTGTTGTCTCCCCTTGTATTTTAGCGCTTACTTTTTCAACTGTACTCTATAGATAATACTACTTTCTTGTTGCGGAGAATTTTCTTTTTTATAAATGCTGGATGAATATACGTCACCTTTTCTCCTTCTAGCTCACCTAGTTAGTTTAATTGTCTTAGCCTTTATTATATTATATTGAATCCTTTGCTGGAAGTTCTGTGTTATAATTTTAGAATATATTTATTTGTTAAGCAATAATTTGATTAATTTATTATTTTTTCTACTTCCAATAGTTATAGTATATAAGTTTTATAATATGTGAAATAAGTATGAAACTAATATCATTAAAATTAAAAAGTATTTAACAGTTTTTAAACCACGTGGTACTTCAATTTATAAATAAAAATATTTCGATGCTCCTTACAATGAACAATTGTTACATACGACATATTGAGTTGCTGGTCTCGAACGAGCGTCAATTTCTCTCTTCTCTTTCTATTTTTCTCCCCATTCGTAGAACCATCATAATAGTGGGATACCTCTGGTGCGTGACGTCCAGTATTTTCGACTCAACTTACAATCCCTGGTCCTTTCCACCCTTATTACTGTCGCTGATTGTAAGGGCACGTCTTCAATTCCGTTGTAAGAATTCTATCTCATTTTTTTATCTATCTTTTTTTCTTATCTTATCTATCTTATTTCCAAATAATATTATTGTTAATTTTTTATATTTAAAGATATATATTACACGGATATGTAGTTATCAACGATTTTTCTATATACAGCACATAAATAACGTATTTTTTTATTCTAACTCGTTATTGCAAGACCCACTTTTTATCAGATAATTTCAATTTTCTATTAAAATACAACTACAAATACTTTATAAAATACAACTTGCTATTAAAATATTTAACTGAATTTTTTATACCACTATTTTTTATATTTTCAATTTACTTTATTAATACATTATTTCATACTTACAAATTTTTATTTATGGATACTGTAATTAGTAGAAAAAAGTATTTTATATTTTGATTATAAATCATTTTATTTTTCTAGCTTTTTATAATAATTTTTCATATACATTGAAAATTTCTAAGGTTAAAATAATAAACAAAATTAAATAAGAATTCTAAAATTTATTACTTAATATGTGTTTATACTTTATTTTTTTGAACATTTTTATTTTTTATTTATTTATTTCTACGTTGAAACAAATTATTAATATTTATTTTCAATATTTTTTATGCATTCGTAGTCTCTTGTTATATATATTTATAAGAATAAATATTTTTTTTAAACAATTTTTTAATTATCTATATTTAATATTTTCTTTTTCTCTAGAAACTTGTAGTTTATAAACTTACTACTTTTATATTTTTCTCTTCACATCATGAAAGTTCGTTTCATTCTACAATCGACTATTTCCTCATGCATTTCTGTTTCATATTAATTTATTGATTTTTGTTGTAATTTCTATACTTCGTATAAAGATTTTTAGCCGATATCTTTATTGATTCGAATATTAAATTTATTAATTATAAAAATACTTACTTCTTTAATTATTAAACAAAATCGTATTTTTCAACTTTAATTACTTTAAAATTAATGCATAACAATATTTAATATATTCATATTTTAATTATGATTGTATTATATATTAAGTCCTTCTCGATAATTCTTTCAAATTATTAATAAACTATTTTTAATAATTTGTATATCTTGAATTAATCAAAGATGTTGCGAACCTTATAACCATTTCCTCTGACGATAACAAACTTAGTCCTTTGATTTACTGTCTCATTCGCGTATTCATTTATTAATTTCATAAAATTGATTGTCGATATTCTTTTTTATCGTAAATTTTTCTACTTCATAGGCTCTCACTAATTAAAATTTTTTTTAATAATTATTCACTTTTGTGTATCTGTTAGTAACGATAGTATGTACGTAATCACTAAAATAAACTTTTACGTAAACTATATTTGCAATAACAGTTGTTGGACCTAGCATTGATGTCACTAGGAAATACTAATTCTATGCTGGAATTTCTTTAAGAATAAGGCTTCAAAAGATACCATTAACACGTGTGTTTATTAAATAACGTATACATATACATACATACACACATAAATATAAAGAAAATACAATTATTAAGTAAAAGATCAAATGTGACAAAAAATTCTCTTTATTTTAATTTAAAATAAATGACTTCAGTTGGTGATGCTTGTAGATGTTTGATTTCATGATTATTTAAGGCTCTCTCTCTTTCTCTCTTACTCTCTTTTTCTCTCTCCTACTTTATTTCCACCTCATTTTAACGAGCTCTTAACGGCCCTTTTTCTCTTATTACTGTTTTGCTTTTAGAAAGAAATGTTAAGAGAAATCAACACAAAAAGTTGATATACAGATCTTTAAGACTGAAGTTAGAATTTATTCGATTAAGTTACCACGTTAAACTAGTAAAAGTTTAAACGATTTAGTCTATTTTCGAAACTAGCGGCAATAATAGCAAGCAGAAAAACATAAAAGGGTTCCTGAGATAGAAAATGAAAGAACAAATCACCATTCAATTGACTTGGCAGTTTTTCATTGTTGATCGTTACTATATACATGTACTCGTACACACACTCATACTTGTACTATGAACCAAGTTATTTAATCCTGTTTGAAACATTTTATCTTTTGCAATTTTATATGATTTTGTTTTATTTTTTATTCTTACTCGTTCAATAATCTAATAATGATAGTTGACTGCGTTGATACGATGAAATACCTACATACTTGTACATATAAGTTTCTTCTTTACATAGATTGAAGCCTTAGCAAAGCGGAAGAGAAGAGTGGGTGAGGACCCGTCACCGTGAAAGATATCTGAAATGAAAGGAGAGAACACAAACTAGGGAGACCGAAACCTTTTCTTTTAACATTATTCAAATGCAACGCGTGGTTAGTCACGAGTTCCGCCAATTTCTTTTCTCTTTTTCGTTTTTCTTTTCCTCTTGTCATTTTTCAGGATACACGCGTGAACGCGTCGATTAACACAAGTCTCACTAAAATGAAGACACAATTCGAATGATCGAACTTACTTATAGTTTATCAACATTATATTTTATACGGTTGAAAAAATTTAAGATTTTATAAGTATTTCGCAGGTAACGTAGAATTAAAATAATTTTAAGTTATTAAATGAACCTCATATAACGATTTATACTTTTATTTTAGGTTGTAAATAAATTTTAATGTTTTGAATTTACCTTTAGCATATAAATTATTCATCTATTATTAATAAAAAGGAACAATATATTAAATATAATATTTGTAATATATCATTCTTTTAACCGATTTATTTAAACATAAGTATTAAATAAATATAAATAGATTTGAAAAAATATATACAATTTTTTTTTAAATGTATGTAAAATTTTTCATCCTTTCATTAAAATATATTCTAGATTATTTTTATATAAATACTAAAATAAATTTATATCATTAGTACTTTTAAACTCAAAGTATTTTATTATAAACTCCTTTAAATAAATTATAATAAAATTATTAATATAAAATACAATTTATGTTTTAATTGATTATATTTAATTTTAGAGCTTTCAACGAAAATCTAATTTAAAATTTTTTTTTGAATTTTTAAAAAAATATATAATTTAATAAATAAAAAACATTATTTCATCAATTATTTTCTTCTTTTAGAAAAAATTTCAATTAAAAAATGTAGTGTATTTGTAGTAAAAATAAAAATATTGAACATTATCATTGTTTATTAAATTATTAT